CCCCCAGAAAGACCAAGTGCAGATTTTTGTGAGCCAGGCCTCTAGGTGGTCATAATACTGACCTGCTGATCACTTTCTTTCCTGTAGATTTTAGGAAAAACTAACTTTTTTTTTTTAAGTTCATTTATTTTTGAGACAGAGAGAGACAGAGCATGAATGGGGGAGGGGCAGAGAGAGAGGCAGACACAGAATCGGAAGCAGGCTCCAGGCTCCGAGCCATCAGCCCAGAGCCCGAAGCGGGGCTCGAACTCAGGGACTGTGAGATCGTGACCTAAGCCGAAGTCGGACGCTCAACCGACTGAGCCACCCAGGCGCCCCAGGAAAGACTAACTTTTAACTATGAAGATGACTTATTCCAGAGAAGAATACCATTTTTTAGGAGAAACAACTAAAATGTACAAACCATGTTCATCTCCCACGAAAGGAAAGGACTGTGTAAGGAATTCACATGTACGTGGCTTGAGAATGAAAGAGAGCCAAGCAGACAAGAGGATTTTCCCAATTTGGTTCACTTTTTAAAAATACTGTTTCATGGAAGCCACGGGGAAGGGGGTGGAGATGAACAAACAAACCGCAAAACCCTCACACTCAAAAAGCCAGGAAAGAAAACCTCCTCTGACTTGCCTTAGGACAAATTAAGCAAATAAAGGAAAACCACTTAGCTACCCCCACACCCCTTCTCGCAGGGGCACCAACAGCCAATTTCCTCTATCCCCATTCTCTATCCTTCTGCCCCAATGCCACAAACAGCCCAAGATAATTGCTAATATTCTGGTCCTAAATTCAGAGTTTAACTGCTCTGGGGCTAATTCCCTGCTTTCTCTGACATCCCATCTCTATGCTTCCCTTTGATTTGTGAGAATATTAAAATTTGATACTTTAATCCAACCTATACTTTTTTTTTTTAAATGTTTTTTTTTTTTCAACGTTTATTTATTTTTGGGACAGAGTGAGACAGAGCATGAACGGGGGAGGAGCAGAGAGAGAGGGAGACACAGAATCGGAAACAGGCTCCAGGCTCCGAGCCATCAGCCCAGAGCCTGACGCGGGGCTCGAATTCACGGACCGCGAGATCGTGACCTGGCTGAAGTCGGACGCCTAACCGACTGCGCCACCCAGGCGCCCCCAACCTATACTTTTTAACATTCATTTCAAGGAGAGGGAGAGAGACGGGAAGGGGCAAAGAGAAAAAGAGACAGAGAATCCCAAGCAGGCTCTCGTCAGTGCAGCGCCCCATGCGGAGCTTAATCTCACAATCTCACAATCCCACAATCTGTGAGATCATGACCTGAGCCAAGATCAAGAATCGGCTGCCTTGGCACAAAAAGACACGCAGATCAATGCAACAGAATAGAGAACCCAGAAATGGATGCACAAACGTATGGCCAACTAATCTTTGACAAAGCAGGAAAGAATATCCAATGGAATAAAGACAGTTTCTTCATCAAGTGGTCCTGGGAAAACCGGACAGTGACATGCAGAAGAATGAACCTGGACCACTTACTTACACCACACACAAAAATAAACTCAAAATGGATGAAAGACCTAAATGTAAGAGAGGAAGCCACCAAAATCCTTGAGGAGAAAGCAGGCAAAACCTCTCTGATCTTGGCCGCAGCAAC